AGCTCACTTCTACAGAAACAATGAGCTCTGTCCATCAGCTGCCAGGGAAAAGCCAGTTTAATGTGAAGAATTAATTATGCTAGGCTGACAGAAGCCAATATCTCAATGAAAAAATCAAAATTTATTTAAAGGAGTAAGCACATATCTAATGGCTTCTTCCAAGTTCCAGAACACATCACTCTCGGGACTTTTCAGACTGCCTCATTTCCATTCTGTTGTCCTTGAGTTTTTGATTACCATCTACCAGAAAATCTCCATGACAAGACACACTTTCAAGGCTGAGGAGATGGCTCAGTCAATAAAGTGTTCACTGTGCAAGTGTGAGGTTCCGAGCTCACATCACCTGAAAGCACATGAAAAGCTAGGTGTGCATATCTGTAGCCCCAGAGCTTGGAAAGCAGAGACAGAAGGATCTGTAAGGCTCAGTGACCAGCCAGCCTAGCTGAATTTGTGAGATCCAGGCTCAGTGAGAGACCTTGTCTCAACAAATTAGGTGCAAAGCCAGCAAGATGGCTCAGTAAGTAAAGGTCCTTGACACCAAGCCTGATGACCTGAGTGTGATCCGTAGGATCCCTAGTAGAGAGAACCAATTCCTGCAAGTTGTCCACTGACCTCCACAGGTGAGCTGTGGAGTGCATGATGAAAAAATCAAAATTTATTTAAAGGAGTAAGCACATATCTAATGGCTTCTTCCAAGTTCCAGAACACATCACTCTCGGGACTTTTCAGACTGCCTCATTTCCATTCTGTTGTCCTTGAGTTTTTGATTACCATCTACCAGAAAATCTCCATGACAAGACACACTTTCAAGGCTGAGGAGATGGCTCAGTCAATAAAGTGTTCACTGTGCAAGTGTGAGGTTCCGAGCTCACATCACCTGAAAGCACATGAAAAGCTAGGTGTGCATATCTGTAGCCCCAGAGCTTGGAAAGCAGAGACAGAAGGATCTGTAAGGCTCAGTGACCAGCCAGCCTAGCTGAATTTGTGAGATCCAGGCTCAGTGAGAGACCTTGTCTCAACAAATTAGGTGCAAAGCCAGCAAGATGGCTCAGTAAGTAAAGGTCCTTGACACCAAGCCTGATGACCTGAGTGTGATCCATAGGATCCCTAGTAGAGAGAACCAATTCCTGTAAGTTGTCCACTGACCTCCACAGGTGAGCTGTGGAGTGCATGCACACACACACACACACACACACACACACACACATTAATTAATTAATAAATATGAAATGTTGAGAGCAAAGAGGAAGAGATCTAATATTAACTTCTGACTTTCATATGCATATAGATGCATACACACAGTCCTAGTTACTTTCTATTATTGTGATAAAAGCAACTGACCAAAATCAACTTGGGGAGGACAGGGTTTATTTGGCTTACATCTTATAGTCCATCATCAAGGGAAGCCAAGGCAGGAAATCAGGGCAGGAACCATGGAGAGCTTATAGTCCATCATCAAGGGAAGCCAAGGCAGGAAATCAGGGCAGGAACCTGAAGCACAGACCATGGAGGAATGCTGTTTGCTGGCTTGCTCCTTTGGCCCATGCTCAGGCTGTTTTCTTTTACAACACAGGCCCACCTGCCCAGTGGTGGCACCACCCACAGTGGGCTGGGCCCTCCCACATCACTCAACAATCAAGAAAAAGCCCCACAGACATGGCCACAGGCCAGTCCAATGGAAGAAATTCCTCAGTTGAGGCTCCCTCTACTCAGGGGTGTCAGGTTGACAACTGAAGCTGTGTAGCACACAAATGCATGTGCAAAAACAAAACACAGACACACTTGCTCCCATCAGTGTCATAGTTTGAAACACTGCAATAATGGAATTTAAATTACATTATGTCTGGGAAGGAAAGGCAAAGGGGTATCAGAAATTCTTATACATGTTAAGATTCAGTCAACTATAGGTCAAGATTCAGGTCAATGTTGTTCTAGAGAAGGCAGGTCATTAGCTACTAATTGAAAGGGAATTCTCCCTACCATTTCTTTAGAAAAATATTATATTTGCTTATTTTGAATGCACATGCATGACACAGTATATGTATGGAGGTCAGAGGACAACTTTTGAGAATCGGTTCTCTCCTTTTACCATACGGGTCTGAGGATCAAACTCAGTTTGTCAGGCTTGGTAGCAAGTGCCCTACTACTGGCTGAGCCACCTTGTAGGCCCCTCCTTACTATTTCTTTTTTACCATGCCCAGCTTTAAAAACTATTTTTATTTTATGTATATAAGTGCTTTTCCTCCCTGTATTTATGTGCATCTGTGCCATCCAATACCTGTGGGGACCAGAAGAGGGCATCAGATCCCCTAGAATTGGAGTACAGACAGTTGTTAATTGCCATATGGGTGCTGGGAACTAAACTCGGGTCCTCTGCCATCTCTCCAGTCCCTCCCTACTATTTTTAAAGGTCTGAAATGCAACCACCATGATCCCAAGTCCTTCTTTATTTAAAAAAAAATTCATTATTTGTATTTTATGTGTTTGAGTGTATTGCCTCCATGTATGTAAATGCACTCATGTCATGCAATACTCATGGAGGTCATAAGATGGGGTTGGCAGGGCATTGATATTGATGTCGGAGGCCCAGCTCACAGTGGGTAGTACCTTGTCCAGGTAGATGGGGCTGGGTTTCTATAAGAAAGGCAGCTGAGCAAGCAGGGGAAGCAAGCCAGAGAGCAGCATTCCTCCTTGGCCTCTGCTTTAGTTCCTGCCTCCGGGTTCCTGCCTTGAGTGCCCTAAGGTTCCTCAGTGATGGATTGTGACCTGAAGGCTGTAAAATGAAATAAACCTTTTCCTCCCCATTGCTTTTGTGTTTTATTAGCAACAGGAAAGCAAACCGGGACACAGATTCCAGTGACCCTCCTGCTTCAGTCTCTGTGTAGTAGCTTGGAAGAGACCATAGTGTTCACCTTCCAGTACTTTACTTTTTGAGATGAAACCAAAAATACAAAGCAGAGGCCAGGTGTGGTGAACATACCTCTAATCCCAGCATGTCAGAGGTGCCCATTGTATTTAGAGAATCATTTAAAACTTGAGTTTTACTTCCATGGTCTCAACTATTTCACCCTGGAAACTGAAGAGCTTTGTGAACTGTCAAACAAAAACAGAAAACTAGCGGTATTTAGACAATAAACTTCAAATGGAATGTCTTTGAGAAGTTGACATACTACTTCAGGAGATTCTAAAAATTCCCCAGAAATTCACATTCTTTATGTCGTGTGTGTGTGTGTGTGTGTGTGTGTGCACGTATGTCTAGGCCAAAGGCCAACCTCAACTGTCAATCCTCAGGTTCACCTTGATATTTTTACATTGTGTGTGCACATGTGCAGGCACACTCCTGCCACAGAACGTGTGTGGAGCATAGGGGACAACTTCCAGAAGTTGGTTCTCATCTTCCACCTGCTCAGGCAGTCTCTTGTGTCTGCTGCAGCATTGCATACTTGAGCTGGCTGGCCAGTGAGCTTCGGGCAATTCTCCTGTCTCCCCCTACCTCACCATAGGAGTGCTGGGAATACAGATGCATGTGATTGCATCTGCCTTTTTTCACAGGTGGGTTCTGGGGACTGAGCTCAGGCATTAGGCTTATGTTGTAAACAGAGCCATCTCCCCAGCCACATGCCTCGGTTTTTGTTTGTTTTCTGTTTTGGTTTGGTTTTTGGCTTTTTGAGACAAGGCCTTCCTGTAGCCCCAGCTGGCCTAGAACTTGCTATGTAAACCAGGCTGGCCTCAATCTCAGAGATTCACCTGCCTCTGCCTCCCGGGCACTGGGGTTAATGGTGTGTACCACCATGCCCAGCACACCTTGTTTTTTGAGGCAGAGTCTCCTAATGGCCTGAAACTCACCAAGGAAGCTAGACTGGCTGGCCTGCAACCCCAGGGATCCTCCTGTCACCTCTCCTCAGTACTGGGATTAGAAGCACACACCTGGGTATTTTTAATGAGTTCTACAGTTGAACTCAGATCCTCATCCTTGCAAGGCAAGCGCCTGAGACAGCTCCCCAGCCTCCACATCTTCTGCCTATTAGCATTATTTGTAGCATAAGAATTACTGGTGAACAAGGGAACAAAGACAGCTGTCTGTTATTTAAATTTAGTATCATGAAAATCATTTAACATAATATAAAGGTTGTCAGGACTGAGCAGAAAGATGGTTAGCCTTCATTTTAGACTCAGGGTAACAACAGAGCAATTTAAGAATGTGAACAGGATAAAGTAAACTAGAACACTGCAAAGGGATTTTTTTTTTTTAATGAGATTCATTAAGAAATTTGGAAGACTGTGGCTAGAGAGATGGCTCTACTTGCTGCTCTTGCAGAGGACTGGGGTTCAGGTCCCAACACCTGTGTGGCAGCTCAAAACTATCTGTAATGCTAGTTTCAAGGATCCAACACTCTTTTCTGACCTCCACAGGCACCAGGTGCATATACATATACAGCAGCAAAACACATGCTTAAAAAAAATCTAATTATAATCAAAAGCCAGGGAGTCCTTTGACATTAGCTCACTGACAGTGTGCAAATCCAGAAGCATCCACATTGTATGTGGAGGACGTGAATTTAGGAGTCACAGTAGGGATATGTCATAATTTTTTTAAGACAGAGTCTCAGATAGACTAGTCTGGCCTCAGACTGGCTATACAGCAGTAGAGGACCCTGAATTCCTCCTGCTTCCACCTCCAGAGCGTTCAGATTCCAGGAATGCAGCAACACACGTGGTTTATGCAGTGCTGGAGATGGAACTCAAGGCTTCAGGCATGCTAAGCAAGCACCTTACCAACCCAGACCCACCCTACCCCATTATTTAGTACTGACAGAAGGACAGAATCCAATGTCATCTTTTAAGTAAGCCCCTCCTTGCCTTTCATTTTTTATTTTAACCATCAAATTTTATTTAGGAAAACTAACATTGTTTAAAGAAGCAGCATCCAGGTCTAGAGTAATTTGGCACATTTATATGTGAAAAAAATACAATTACTTGATACATCTTTAATACACAAATACATATACAAACATTTTATTTTAATAATACTCTTTATCACTTCAATTTAAATCATTCCATTATGAAAATTTCTTAATTGAAGAGAGAATATTTCTTTAAAACTCTAAACAGAGCTTTAGCAATTACTTTATAGCCATACAGCCTTTAGAAATATGTAATTTTTCATTTCACAATCCGTCCCCTTTAAAATCTGTTACGGTTTTTCACATTTTTTCAAGATACAAGGCACCTAATGCTAGAAAAGGATAATATGGGATATGTAGTGTATGCCTCCCAGATCTTTTCTCAAACATTTATTCTCTAAAGTTCCACCAAATTCTCATGAACATACTTGCTACATAAATTAAACATTTCTTCTGTGTGGTTATTTTGCAGTTGTCTACAAAACTCAAAAATAGAATCTATACCCATCGTAGGCTGTCAGAAAACTCATCTGCATACTTATGTGATTTCTTGAAAGCAGACTACCCAGCATTGAACAAGTATGTGAAAATAAAGTCCCCCAAAAGATTTTACTCCTTGATTAGTTCCAATGATTTCATCAACCGAAACTTGAGATATGTAAGGCAGGTTGGTCCTTCAGATTGACTGGGCTGGAACTTCCTGTAACTGGATAAGCACAAAACCTACATGGAACATACTTCATTATGAAAATGAAGAAAATAGACATGAGGAAAATATAGTTTAGAGTTTCAAAGAACTGAAACTGTTATTTTTCAGACTAGGCACTGAAAGATTTTTTCTACAAAGATCTTGCCAGATTGTCTCTTCACTGTAGAATGTTCCATCATCAAGCTAAAAATAGAAGGACACAGAAAATGGTTAGTTATCATTGACATAATTTAATTTCTATAGTTTATATCCTGAAAACCAGATTATCTTAATGTTGAAATAATTACTATGTACATTACACATACTTTATAATTGGATACCTAAACTTGAAGTGAGTGTTAAGAATTCAGGACAGGACCAATATGATGGCTCAGTATGTAAAGGCACTTAATGCCAAGCCTGACAACCTGAGTTTGATTCCCAGGGCCCACACAGTGCAAGGAGAGAACCAACTCTCACGAGTTGTCCTCTGACCTCCATACAAAACTATGGCATGTGAGCCCACACAAAATAAATAAATTTAGATGATAGATAGATAGATAGATAGATAGATAGATAGATAGATAGATAGATGGGGGGAGATAAAAGTACTCAGTATAGTGAGTTGTATAGCAAAATGAAGACTGACATCAACACTGCTTAAATACTGTGCCAGCTTAATTTCTGGTATAATCTTCGCTTCCTGCTACAGACAAAGCCCCACCCATCCTGCTCTACTCAGTGCTATTCAATGGCTTGCCACTTTTTCTAGTCTTCACCTCCCCCATTCTCCCACTCTAATTTCTCCAACCATTTAAACATCGCCTAGGGGTGGGGTGGGTGAGTTTGACTATGATTCTGGAAGTGATGTGCAGGATATATTGAAAGATAATCCATAAATATTGTAATGACATGAAAAAGCTTTACATAATTTTTATAGTTGTCGTTTTAAATTTAAAATTTTATTTTTAAGGGTGTGTGTGTGTGTGTGTGTGTGTGTGTGTGTGTATGTGTGTGTGTGTGTGTGTGTGTGTGTGAATGCCACATGAGTGCAGTGCCTGCAGAGGCCAGAAAAGTGTCAGATCCCCTGCAGCTGGCATTATAGGCAGTTGTGAGCTACTCAGTATGGGTGTTTGGAACCAACTCAGGACCTCTGCAAGAGCAGCAAGCACTCTTAACTGCTAAGCTACCTCTCCAGCTCTGCTGTTTTTAATTTAAAGATAGCATGCTTGTTTCCTCAAAGCCTCCTTAAAAAGACAGTGAAAAATAAAGGGGACATTTTTCTTAAGAGGAATAAATCACATGGACAAAGATAACAGAGACAGAAAGCAAAACAAAACAGCAGCAGCCAAGCCCTAGGCAGCAGTTAAGAAATACAACCAAGTCCTTCTGTCAGAGGGGTGAAGAAATGACTGGAACACAAATGTGGGTAGGAAGTTTATAGATTTACACAGCCAGATAGCTCCCCCTACTTCATATAAGAGGAACAGTTGAGGTTTAGCTTTCTAAAAATGGTAGTAAGAGAGGTTCTCTAGACTGGGGAAATGCCAGGCAGAATCTTACATGGCCCACTCATAATTTATTTAGTCATAAAAATGTAAAGATAGAAGAAAGCTCTATGCAAAATTATGCAGCAGCTATATAGGGTAGTGGTAAATTTCCACTTGTTTGCTTTGCATTTTGTTTGTTTTTTTTTCCTCTGAGACAGAGTCTCATGTCAACCATGAGTCTTGAACTCACTACGTGGCCAAGAATGACTTGAACTCCTCCATCCTTCTTCTGCCTTCCACGTGTTGGGTTTACAGCCTGTGTCAGCAGGCTCTGTGGGATGCTGGATAGCAGTGTGGAACTGGGAGGTAGGCATGAGGAATGGGAGTGGAAGTCTTGATCCATTTAGTGGAATGGTCACCTGAGGGTTGCCCAAAGCTCAAAAGATAAGCAATAGCAGGAATAAGATCTGCAAAGACACAGGGAGGCAAATACCTAGAGAATCAGCTAAGACTGATGTGATGGGCAGTTAATAGTGGCTCCACCCCTCCCTGAGGACCTAGAGACTGCTAATACTTGCTAGGAGGAAGGAACTTCCAAGTCCGCACCCCTCCAGGAGGATCTATAGCAGTTAAAGGTCCTGATGAAGGGAAAGCCTCCATTTAGATGCACATGCTCCTGTATATAATACTTCACTCATGCTCCTGTAAGCAGCCTCAGGAAATTCCCTAGTTGACACACACACACAAAAGACAGAAATAAAAAGGGGACTACTTGGGAAAAGGAAGAGGCTCAGGAGTGGAGGGGGCCAAGAGAGGGTAATGGGAACACATTGAGAATGAATATGATCAAATGTATTATATACATGTATGAAAATGTTGTAATGAAATGCATTCTTATGTAGAACTAATATATACTAATACACTTTTTAAAAGCTTAGAGTTTGTGTATTTATTTTTACAGTATTTGGAGTAAGCCTATTGTCTCCCACAGGTCAGGTACACATACTCCCATTGAGCTGTAGGTCTGGCCCCATGAAAGTGATTTCCTTGAGGGGGAGCAGGGCAGAGTAGGGCTGGGGGAGCTGCTTTGTCCAGGAAGACTTGTAGAGCCAGAGCTCAAACTATGACCTCCGATAACAATCACAGCAATAAAACTAGATTACAAAACAATTCACCAAAGAAAACCACAAAACCAAGAAAATCAGCTTTAGAGGTGACTTTCCTATACAGATAATAATTAGGCCTTAAAGCCCAAGTGATTGTTAGAAGTTGGCAGGGACTGTGGGATGCTGTAGGTGGGGAAGGAAAATCTAAGCACAATCAGGAAACATTTCAACAGAAATTGCCTAATGATATCTCAAGGAAGGATTGGGATCCCAAAGCATTCTAGTAACTTAATATGAGCTCTTTCTGTAACTGCTCAATCACTTTTGTACCTATCAAACATATGCTAGGTTTACTTCAAGACTTTAGTAGACCAGTAAGTGTCATATACTCTTTTAGTCCTCCAAGAAATATAAAAGGTAGTATTCCTTAAAATTTCTAAAGTAGGAAAATTATTCTGAAATATTAAAGGAAAAAGCACTGGAGAACAGGGATAAGAGCTCAGGCTGGTGACAGTATGTAGAGGGAGGGAGGGAGGGAGGGGAGACAGAGAAAGAGAAAGTGGGAGACAGAGAAGACGTGATACAAATATCTTATTTTTCCTTAATTTTACGACAGAAGAAAATACTTTTCTAAATTATCTCACTAAGTAAAAGGATGTTTAGCAAGAGTAAGAATGAGTTAAGAGGCTGGGAAGATGGCTCAGTCAGTAAAGTGCTTGCTGCACAAGCATGAGGACCTGTGTTCAGGTCTCCAGAACCCACAGAAAAAGCTGGGCACAGTGGTGCACTCCTGTAACCTCAGTTGTAGGAAGGTGGAAACGGGGATCCCTGGGGTTTCCTGGCCAGCCAGTATAGCCTAATCAATGAGCTCCAGATTCAGTGAGATCCTGTTTCAAAAGAAAAGGTGGAAAACAATAGAGGAAGGCAGCCTATGTCAACCTCTGGTCTCCACATACATAAACACATACACATATACAACCCCACCCCCACCCTCACCCCCAAACACACAGATCATTTGAGTCAGGCACTATTGTACATACTTTGATCCTAACACTTGTAAAAACCTTACGAGGGCAGTTCTACTGTGATGCCACTTCACGACTAGGAGAACGGGCTGAAAGAGGCCAAGAAGCTTGCCTGGGATCACATAACCAAATGTGGAAGCACCTGAGACTTGGAAATCAGGAGATTTCACTCCAGAGTTTTTCATGCCTTTGGACTTTCTTCCCAAAAGCAACTCATTATTTAAAAAAATCAACCTGAAGTTTGAATACTACAATAAGAATACCATGAAGCATTGGTGCCGGCTCACATACCAACCTGGACTACAGACAACAGCAGCTAACTAGCTCCATCCTCCTGGGAAACACCATGCATAGGAATGAGGCTCTCGCACTGTTCACTGTCTTCTGGAACTCTTAAGAAAAAGGCAACAGTTAAGGAAAGCTTTAGAAATGAAAAGGAACCTCAAAAATGACCTGTTACACTGTCTGAGGCCAGGAGGTCAAGACACAAAGACAGAATCAACAATTTGTCTCACATTTTTGTAGTAAAATAAAAAAACTTTCTCTCTCAAAGGAAAGAATTTTTAAAAAGAAAATTCAAAGCAGTGCTAGCATATTCTATTAAGAATTATGCTTAAGAGGGCTGAAGAGATGGCTCAGTGGTTAAGAGCACTGGCTGCTCTTGCAGAGGACTAGGGTTTGAATCCCAATACCCATATGGTGGCTCACAACTGCCCTTAACTCCAGTTCTAGGGGATTTGACATCCTCTTCTGACTTCCATGGGCACGGCATGACATGGGTGCACTTAACACACATGAAGGAAATACAGTCATATACATAAAATAATTGATAAATATTTTAAAAAGAATTATGCTTACACCAAAGTTCCCTACATTTAAATTCATTACAGAGTATCAATAAGCACTCTGGTTTTACCTATGAACCAAAACATTTCTTTCCTAAAAAGTAACAATGAAGAAATTATTTCAGTGTGTGTGGGGGGAGCATCTCATTACCCAAAGGATCTAAACACATTGTTATAATTTTTTCTCATACAATACAAATTATAATTTTTTCACTTAACAACTCCTGGGAAAAAACCTTAAAAGCTAGGCCATTGTGGCACATTCTTACCAGCAGACTGGGAACTCAGCAGATTTACCATTGTTGTTTTGTTTATTTGCTGAGAGGGTCTCACAGTGTAGCCCATGCTAGCCCCAAACTCAGAACTCTTCTGCCTCAGCCTCCCCAGTTGCTGGCTGGGATTATAGGAGTGTATAACCACACCCAGCTGCAAACTTTGATTTTTCAAAAAGCAATACTGTAATCTCAGCACTTGGGAGGCTAAAGCAAGAATCCAGAACTCGGGGACCTCCTGGTTTATATAGAGAGATGTCTCAAAAAGAAAATGGGCTGGGGAGATGGCTCAGCTGATAAAGTCCTTGCCTCACAAGTATGAAGACCTAAATTCAATGTCCCCTATGCCACATAAAAAGGTGTGACAGGAACATCTGTAACCACAGTGGTGGTAGAGGAGGGTGAAGACAGGAGGACCCTGGGGCTCATTGGTCAGCCAGTCTCACCAAATGGGCCCACCCTAGCCAAGGCAGAGGGCTCCTGTAAAAGACTGTCTTGCTGGTCATGGTGGTGCATGCCTTTAATCCCAGCACTCGGGAGGCAGAGGCAGGCGGATCTCTGAGAGTTCAAGGCCAGCCTGGTCTACATAGTGAGTTCCAGGCCAGCTGGGGCTACAGGGAGACCCTGTTTCAAAAAGACCAAAATGAAAAAAAAAGACTCTGTCTCAAAAAATATGGGGGAGAACAATTAGGGAAGACACCTAACATTGACCTCTGGCCTCCATACGCACATGCATACAGACATAAACACACACACAAAAACCTTTAAAAATCTATGTGGAATAAAACATACCTTTGAATTCGATGTTTTCTGCATATAAAGGCAAAGATTCTTCTGACTCCTACCATCACAGGATCCCAATTATTATAATGGCAGAGGAGGGTTACAATAAAAAATGAAAAAAATACAGGGATAGCGCCTGCAAAAAATAACCAAGAAAACTGCACCTAAAAATAAAAGATTAAAAATAAAACCTCAAAATTATCATTAAGGGAATTTCTCTTTGAGTACACATTATCCATTTATGCAAACTAGCAGGAATAAGTTAAAGCACTAAGAAAACAGACTGAACACTGACATGATATGAAGCAGACTATGAAATAAAAGGATTTAGAACTTCAACTTTCAATTCCTCTTGCCTAAATTACCAGTAGCAATCTTCTGTATTAAGCAATACTTGTTGCTTAAAAATAATGGGCCACAGAAAAGCCAAGAAGGTATGCCTACCATTTATCAGGCACAGTGCTTAGAAGGTGGGGGTGTCTACAAATGGAGCTGTTGCCTCATACACCATAATGCCCATTTGCTCTCCAGTGGCCAATGCCTGCTCTCAAGTGGACCCCTCCCTTTTGACATCATCTTCAAAACTTCACATTTGGAAAACAAAATGTTATAGATGTGCTGTTAGATTAAGGTACACCTAAAACTCTGTACCAAATGAAATCTCTAAAGACAATTTTTGCAAGTCTTTTATTAACAACCTACAACAATCTAATCATGACACTCAAAGCTAGCTGACTTCTTTAGTAACAGATTAAAGGATGATCAGAATTAGGGTTGGTGAGAGGGCTCAATGGGTGAAGGTGCTTGCCACCAAGCCTAACAACCTTTCAATCTCTGAGACCTACATGGTGGAAGGAGAAAACTGACTCCCACGGATTGTCCTCTGGCCTCCACATGCACACCAGGACAAATGCACACACTGAATAAAATTTTAAAAAAAAGAAAGTCCATTGAGAACTAACTTATGACCAAGGGAGCAGGAGCAGGCAGGAAGCCAGGCTTTGGAAGTGATGAGCCTGTAGATGCCACCAAGTGTGAGCCTCTCATTCATCAGTCTTCAAGCAAACAAAAGATAATGAAATGCCATAGAGCTACCAAAATTTTTTTTTCATTCTTCATTTTCACCAACTTTCATTTACTATCTAGACTCAACTAAGGTTTCCAAAACATTTTTCCAAGCAGCTCACACTAAGTAGCAACTGAGGCTGATGATGGACACAGTGGTGGTCTGTTTTACAGAAATGATGGAATAGCAGCTCCTATACAGGGAAGAACTGTCTGCTCTCTTTTGAGAGTTAAAAAGAAAATTAGGATGGGAAAGATGACTCAGTCAGTAAAGCACTTACTACAAAAGAATAAAGACCTGAGTTCAGATCCCTAGAACCCACATAAAAAACTGGACAAGGTGGCACACACTTGTGATCCCAGTCCTAGGGAGGTAGAAACAGGAGGATCCCTGGGACTTAACTGGGCAGCCAGCCTAGCCTACTTGGAAAATCCCAAGACCCAGTGTCTCAAAAAAAGAGTTCGAAAGCACCTGAGGGACAACACCCAAAGTTATCCTCTGGCATCCACATGCATGCACACGTGCATCAGCACACATGTGTGCACCTGCAAACACGTACACATGAATGTATGCACACATACATATGAAAATAAAGTTTAAAATCATAGGCAAAATTCCCTCTGGTGGCAAACCCATACCATTCCATTTAACAGCATGATTGAGAGGTTTACAAGAATGGTGTGCTTGGTGAGGGCTCCCAACACAGAAAATAGAAAGAATCATTTCGACAATGTTTAACACACAACCTAATTTGTATGGTGTATGCATACAGAGGCTAAATGGCCCAAAGAATACCCAGGAATGAGTAGTCATTAAAAGAAACTAAGACACCAGCATTTAGTTATTAAAGTATTGATGTTGTATTTTCTTGTACTATCTAACAGAATATCCAATAATCTAGAAATATCAGCATGTATTATTTTTAAATAAAGAAGAGACACATCACTGAAAAAATTTTGCCTTCATCCCTTAAACTGTACAAAGACCAAAAGAAAAACAGCATTAAAAATAAAATTATAGCCAGGCGTGGAGGTACATGCCTTTAGTCCCAGCACTCGGGAGGCAGAGGCAGGCACATCCCTAAGTTCAAGGCCAGCCTGGTCTACATAGTGAGTTCTAGGCCAGCTGGGGTTACAGGGAGACCCTGTCTCAAAAAGACAAAAATTAACTAATTAAAATAAAATTATGGGGGCTGGAGAGATGATTTGGTGGTAAAGAACACTGGCTGCTCTTGCAGAGGGCCCAAGTTCAGTTCCCAGCAGCCAACGGCAGTTAACAACCATCTGTAACTCCAGTACCTGGGGATCCAATGCCCTCTTATGGCTTCCACAGGCACTGTACACATAGGTGCACTCACATATATACAGGCAAAACACCCATACACATAAAAATAAATTTTAAAAAATTTAAAGATTATTACTGCCATATGTTATAAACTTTGGGGCTTTTAAGCATTTCCCTCTTCAAATTATATTAAGTGTTTCTCTCTCTCTCTCTCTCTCTCTCTCTCTCTCTGACTACTTAGGACTTAAAAGCTTTTGAGCTTCAGCAAAGGCTCGCTCTCTCCCCTGCTTCCCCTAGGGCACTAAAGAAACTCCTTCCTTTTAGGGGCAGGCAGAAGCACCTCAGATTCTCTTTCTGCAGTGTCAGACTTTATCACCAGAATCTCTGAGAGCAGACCTGGACTTCACACTAGAGGGCAGGGACACCATGACTGCTGAGTAAGGCACAGATGAGCATTCACCAGGACACTGAGCATTCTCCTGGAGCTCTGTTCTGCAGCAGCATTGCCACAGCGTTACAGACTGACTGGAGCTGAGCTTAGAAACCAAGATATTCCTACTGGTGTGACAGACAGCATCTCCTATTCCAAATAAAAGATAAAAATGCAGATTGCCTACTTCTTTGGTGCTTTAAATCTTTGTTAGTGTGTATGCATGTGCATATGTGTGCATGTGTGTGTACTCATGTATGCCCATTCATGTGGAAACGAGAGGCTGTCATTCCTTAGGTGCTGTTCACGTTGTTGATTTTGACAGTCTCACTGGCCTGGGATTCTCCACATAGGCTAGGCAGGCTGGTCAGTGAGCCCAGGGATCCACCTGTTTCTACTTCCCGAGCGCTGGGATTACAAGCATGCAACACTCCTAGCTTTTTTTAAAACATGGGTTCTGGGACTGGAGCTCAAATCTTCAAGTTTGTGGAGCAAGTACTCTACTGACTGAGCCCCAGCCCCAGCCCCTACTTTTACATTTCTATGTTGGTAGAGCACCTTGGGAAAGGGAGAGAAGGAATCAATTATCCATGTCTGTATCCCTTATCATTTAAACACATCCTTAAGTTTCACTAAGTCTGTCTTAGTAACATTCCTAAAATATCTATAAACAACCTGCCTTACCTTTTGCATGCACATGTCGGCTATGATGAAAATATCTATAAACAACCTGCCTTACCTTTTGCATGCACATGTCGGCTATGATGGAGAGAGGTATCGTAAGGCTTAATGCAAGTGTGCCTATCAACGATGAGGTAAGAAAGCAGCCCCTGAAAAAAAGAAAGGAAATATACATTTCCATATTAAAAATATAAAAGAAAGGCACTCAACAAAGCCAATCAAGATTTTTCTATCTTATACTGAAGATATGAGAAAGCTGAGATGGGTGTGAAGTTATCAAGATGATTCCAAAGCTTGTCTTCAAGTATTAAAAACATAAATACAGAAGTCTAAACATGCTGAAAGTACTTCATACTATCTGAGGTCTGTTTCATGTAATATTCAACTTTGGATATATAGTTTATATTTTATTAATTTAAAAAGTTATTGAGCAGGGTTTTTACAGTTTTGTGATGATACGTATCTAAAAAGACAGCATTACATTTTAGATTTTTACAAAAAATTTAAAAGAGATCAACATGGGTATCTTCCTCAGTCACTCCTCACCTTCTTTTCCTTTTTTTTTTTTGTCTTTTTGAGACAGGTCTCCCTGTAGCCCCAACTGTCCTGGAACTCACTATGTGGACCAGGCTGGCCTCGAACTCACAAAGATCTGCCTGCCTCTGCCTCCCATGTGCTCACAATGCCCAGCTCACCTTCTTTTTTGAGACAGGGTCTCTCACTGAACCTGGAGCTCATGGATCCAGCAAGACTGGCTGGCCACCCAGCTCTAGGGACCCTCCTGTCTCTGCACTCCCAGCACTGCTGTACAGATGCACACCATCATGCCTAGGAACCAGAACTGTAATCCTCATGTTTGGGTGGCAAGCACTTTACCAATTAGCTTTATAACTGTATTTTTGAAAACACTCTTTCAAATTTAAAATACCTATATTCATTGCAGGGATGGTGGTGCATGCCTTTAATCTCAGCACTTAGGAGGCAGAGGCAGGAAGAGCTCTGTGAGACTGAGATCAGACATTAGCTTAGTCTACATAGTGAGTTCCAGGCTAGCTGAAGGTACTAGAAGATCCTGTCTCAAAAAAATAAAAAAATAAAAAATAAAAAACCACACATTTATTCAATTACAAGTGTCTACATGGAAAGGAGGTGCACAAGGGATCAACAGAAGACAGAAGACACAGAAATTCACAAACTATTCAAAAGCCAATAAACTGACAATAAACTTCAGGAGAATAAACAGAACCTACCACAACCATAGGAACTCGGAGAGAACTGTTCCGATAAGGCCGTTGATAACGATACACATTAGTACCACTTTATTGGGAAACTCGAAGTCCTCAAATCCAGTATAATGAAGCAAAAAGAACCCCGGCCACAAGAGCAGCAGATTAAACAGACCTACAAAGCCTAAGTAAGTATAAAAGAGACAAAAGGTAAAACTGTGACCAATTTCAATTTTCTAAACATATGATTATGCCTAGAAAAAAGATTTTCACAAAAGACTTCAAAGGTTGCCTTAGTTGGAACTTCTTTTGGTTTGTTTTTAGGTCAGTCCTACAAACAGCTCAAAACCAGGAAAAATATGAGGTTTCTGGTGATTGCTGACTTTGAGGGGAGATGGTCAATAAAAGCTGGCCATGCTTTTTCAACCCCCAGCACATGTGTTTAAAAAAAGTCAGGCATAGTAGCACTCACTTCTAATCTCAGCACTGGAAGAGGTAGAGACAGGTGGATCCCTAGAATTCACTGGCCAGTTAGTCTAGCTGAATTGGTGAGGTCCAGGTTCAGTGAGAGACCTGGGACTCCATAATATTTTAAGAAGTTTTTAAAAAACATCATATGGGCCAGGTGTGGTGACTCACACCTTTAATCTCGGCACTCAAGAGGCAGAGGCAGGTGGATCTTTGTGAGATGGTGGCCATCCTAGACTACAGAGTTCTGGGCCAGCTGTGGCTACAGGGAGACCCTATTTCAAAAAGACCAGGAAAAAAAATATGGAAGAGAAAAAAGACTTTTCTATTCTCTCACAAAATAAGCAAACAAACAGGCCTAGGATTGTTCATGTGAACAGCCAAACAGATGAAGCATATACATACCAAAGAACATTGGAATATCCAACTTATCTTCTCTGTCTACTTTTCTTTTGATCATCACAATGTAGACAGCATACAGCATGGCTCCAGCAAGGGACCAAATGGAACCTGTAAAAAAAAGAAAAAAATCAAGTGATTTAAGCTGAAGTACCCAGTCCTTAACTCATTCAATATATACATACTTAAAATCTAATAATGTGCTCAATACTAAATTCAGAAATGAGTATGCAAAAATGAAAAGGTAAGGAGTAACTAACTCCTCCCATCCATGTCCTCCACTAGGATAGGAAGGAATGGAATAGATGAACAAATGCAGGCAAAAGCATTTACCTCAGTGACCTAACTAAACACCCCCATGAACTATAACCACAAAACACAGATAAGTAACATTTTGGCTTGAATTCTGAAATATACACTTTCTGTTTTTCTCTGCAGGAACCATTCCGACACCTCCTACTGTACAACTTAACAAATGCTTCCCTCCATCTCTAAGCTGTTGCTTAATCTTGTTCTTCCTATCCCAACATAGCAGTTTTATAAACATTCCACCACCTCACCCATCTTCAAGGCTGTGATAAAAATCCCACCTCTTCTACCAGCACGCTGTTTCTACTCTGCCAAATTTCCAATTGACTTGTCCTCTGTTTTAGATACTGTAAAGCTAACTAAGGACAAATATGGTATTATGGTTGGGGAGATAGCCTACTGGGTAAAAATACTTGCTACACAAGCATAAAAACATGAGTTTGGATCCCCAGGACTGACATAAAGACACATGTGGTAGCACATGCATCTGTAATCCTGGGGTTCCTACAATGAGATGGGAGGTAGAGACAGAATCCCTGGAAGTTTACAGGCCAGCTAGCCAGGCAAATGCAGCAGCAAAAACCAAGAGACCCTGTTTCAAACAAGGTGGAAGGCAAGGACTGACACCTGAGATTGTCCTCTGTCACATGAACTCCCATGCTAACACACTCAAATGCACACACACAAACACACACACACACACACACAAACACCATACACACACATAAAGATGGAAAAGTATGGTATTACTTTATTCTCTAGTGGTTTTATTTAGTAATTTTCATTCTCTATTTTAAATCAAGAACTCTTTGAAAACTACAAACATATAATTTATACTTACACTTGGTCCAAAATGTCCACTATAATGCAAAGCTCATAGTGGGCAAATAATCAGTACTGACTGTCTTCATTAACTCACACTCAGAAATATTTAAGTGAGCCTTTGAATATAATGTGCTTCTGCCAAGTGACTATACTAAATACTTTAATCTATTCAAAAGGACAATTTCTTACTAAATCTATTTTTTTCATTCTCAAACTATTTTTAAAAGCTAAGAGAAAACCTGTCAAGACATTCTTGCACTTCCAAAACAAACACATATTGTGTTTTTAATAAACAAAATGACTCTGGGTATTAAAGAAGTGAGGTAGGGCAAAACACAGGTGACTGGGCAGTAACCAGGAATACTTTAGAAAGCATCATTATATACTTAGAAAACTTTATAAAGCATCTATAAACTTCACATATCTGAAGATTAATTAAGTGGGGTTCTGATTTCCTTTGTTTTTGCTAAATCTAGGGGGTGTATCAAAAACTAAGTGTCTACTATAGTAGTACTTGCTTTAGGCAAGAAGCAAGAGGGCATGAGAAAGTTAATGGATCAAAGTATGGTAATAACAGGATATTTCTATGACTTCAAAGTATCTACCACAAGATGCCTTCTACCTGGTCAATTAGTCATTTCACATGGAGAACCTGGCAGATGCTACCTAATACTGGATGACCAGTAGTGGGTTAACAACATCAGACCCAGAAATATCACTGTCATGTTATTCTTATCAATAAGGATATCAATTTAAGTAGAAAGAATTCTAGACAAACTCAAACCCAAATGGAAGGATGCTATAAAAAACAAGTAGGCTGGACCCTTCAAAAGTGTCAAAGTCTTAAGAGATACATAAGACTGAGTTAGGATTCTAGAAGAAAGGACATTAGGGGCACAAGACAACTAAATGCAAATAAATAAAAGGATCTGAAGCCATAAACAGAACACCATGGAAAAGACGGCTACATTTAAAATGTAGAGCCAGGCATGTTGGCACATACCTTCAATCCCAGTAATTGGGAAGCAGAGACGGATGGATCTCATGAGATTGAGGCCAGCCTGGTCTATATATTGAGTTCCAGGCCAGCTTATTAGTGGGGCTAGAGAGATGTCTTGGTGGTTAAGAGCACTGGCTGTTCTTTCGGATGACCTGGGTTCTGTTCTGGGCATCCACATGGCAGCTAACAACCATCTGAAACTCCAGTTCCAGGGATCTGATGTCCTCTTCTGGCCTCCACAGGCACTGCACACACGGGTGCAGTTACATACATGCAGGCAAAACACTCATACACATAAAATAAAAATAATAAATTTCCCCCTCCAAAGACCCCATTAGTGCACCAGTAAGATGACTCAGAGGATAAGGATGTGCTTGCTGCCAGGCCTTATGACTTGAGTTCTATCCCTGGGTCTCACATGGTAGGAGAAACCTGACTCTTGCATGTTTTCCTCTGACCTCCACATACATGTAGCACATGCATGCCCACATGTATGTACACACGCACAAAAATATAATCAAAGAGATCCTGGTAGTGGTCACCCTGCGCATGTGGCAGTTAGCACAAAGCTTCTTACCTATTGTATCTCTTCCAGAAGACTTTTCAGATCCTGACAGGTTCACCAGCACCACGCCTCCAATGCTATGAGAAGAACAGTCATTACTGATGAGCAAAATAATAAGCTTCTAAAAGACTAATCATAAAGATAACTATTTACTAGTGATCAAGAATTTGTCTCAACTTTGGGTAAAATTGTTGAAGCAGTTAATGATTTTTGTTGATAACAGTTAATGAGATTACAGTACAGTGTAATGCTTAACACAGTTAATCCTCACAGAATGCACAACAGTGACCTATAAGGAAGGTATTATTACTACCATCCCATTGTACATGAGAAAACTAAGGCATAAAGAGGTGAAGTAACTTAATCAAGACCACACAAGGACTGAGATAGGCAGCCTGGCTCCGAAGCCCAACACCTTAAATGCTATTGTCTTTTAATCATGGAAAAACTAACTTGTCATCCCTTTGCCAGTCTTTCCAAGGTGTAAACTGAACCCATACAAAGCTGGCTATGGGTATTACTCTTACTTTTAGATAAACAGAAAAGCTATTCTTACATATTTAATCCATTAATCCCATAATTTTAATGGGTAAAAATAAGACTGACTTAAGGCTGTTGAGAAGCCAGAGGTCACTGACCCATCTACCTGTCACTTACTGAGCATCTAGAATTAGCAAAGCCTGTGTTCCAACAGTGACAGATGTGCTATTGTCTTCAAGGAACTCATGTGACCTTTCTACTTCTAAGCTTCTTGTAAATTGTATATATTTTTCAAGCAAATGAAATACAAATTAAAAAGATAGTTTAATTCCCTAGCCTGCTGATCAAAAAAGACAAAGGTGGCATTTGAGGAGCAATGTGAAAAACAGAATATTTTTCCTTTATGCTATCATAAGTCCAACAGAATAACCCTTACACTGAATATTCCTACTCTTCAATGATATCATCAGCTTCCCGTAAAATAATTGTTACTTGGATTAGATTCACGTGCTGTTTACTCAGTTCCCACAGTATCTAGACCACTTTGTTTTCATTCAGATGATGATGCCATGACAGTGCCTGAATATACTGAGTACATGTTGTTTAGGACAGATTATAAGTTCTAGCTCATCTAACCCACATAACAGTCCTATGAGACAAATTCTACTGTGATCCCCAACTTACAGATGAGAAAACAGGCAAAGAGGTTTAAAAAAATTGCCCAAGATCTCAAAATTAATAACAATGGAGGTGGAACTAGATAACAGATAATAAAATGAGATTTCTGAGCTCATCAGAATATTTCTTTCAAGGCTGTTGCTATATCAAATTCTATTCATAATCAGAAAACTCATTTTCACTGTTTAATGCCAATTCAAAACAAAGTACCAAAGTTTATTAAAAAATTCTTAAGAACATAAAATACACAAAAAGTCTAAATATCAATTTTCCTAAACTATAAACTCAAATTTTGCATTTTTTTCCTTTTCAGTCTTTTTGAAACAGGGTCTCCTGTAGCCCCAGCTGTCTTGGAGCTCGCTATGTAGGCCAGGCTGGACTCAAACTTACAGAGATCCACCTGCCTCTGCCTCCTGAGTGCTGGGATTAAAGGCATGCACCACCATGCCTGGCCAAAACTTTTCACTTTTTAAGGGACATAAAATAACTATTTTAGACTTGTGGTCCGTATGGTCTCTCCTACAAGTCAACTCTGCTGCTATGACCCTTAGCAGCTACAGATGATAAATAAATGAATGAAAATGACCATGTTTCAATAAAACTATAAAAACAGGCAGGTAGGCAGGCAGGCCACCTTAGTTTCCTAACCCTAGTTCTTGTCCTACTTTAATAAAAAGTAATATTCCATCAAAGCACTTGCAAGTTTAACATTTTATATCCATTCCCTTCATTATCAAACATTTACTAAGTAGTGCTAAGAAAAATCATAAATTACTATATATTTTGATTAAAGTCTAATAAAACATTATTTATTTCCCCAATATAAATATTGCATTCCTTTAATGCAAACATATGGTTACTAAAACATTAGTCAACAATGTAAATAAAGTATCTCTGGTAGCTATGAAGACTAAATGATAAGTTAGTTGGGTCAACTAGACTATCAGTGAAATGACTTTGGTAGACTTTCCCTTCTATCTAAAAGGCAGAATATATGAATGATAAAGTCTCTAAGATAGTCACTTTATACACATTGCTCCAAACTTTAAAAACAATGCTGCAAAGCAGATATTATCATTTTCACAACTAGGATAGGGCTTACAGGAAGTAACAGAACTGATTCATCCCCATCTATGAACTTAAGAAACACCATTAAGTCATTCTTCTACCTTCTTCAATCACTCATTTTTCTCTCACCAGAAGAGCAGGTGTTTTATCAAACTAAAATACCTTCTTTTAAACTGTCTATGGGAAAAGCCCTCTGATAGGATTTTGGCAACACAAAGAAATATAAAACAAGGTTTCAGCCTTCGGAGGTTTATAGCCCAGTAGGGAAGACAAAAGAAACATACACACAGTCAAAATTGAAATACTGAAATACAATTTTCCACAATACTGTTGCTATGCAATAACATAAGATTTCCAAATGAATTATACAGAAAGTAACTGAAGGATCACCACATGCTAAGACAATTGGAGAAGATCAAATGTTCCATTTCTAGAAGTAGGAAAGAGATAGATCAAAGCCAAAATGAAAAGGGGAACTTGTGTCAGGAAAAGGAAATAGAAGAGTGGGAAGTCATGATGACTAAGTTGGCACATCCTGTTAAATGTGAATGTCAGCTCAACACTTAGTAATTTTGTAGTTACATGAATGGGAACCATAGCTACCTTAGGGTGTTTCCCTCCACTTACCCTAATATGACACAGGGCTGAACAGCATCATACCCACAGAAAGCCTTCTTTAGCCTCATTTTTCTTTACTTATTATAAATTATACTAAATTTTTCAACATCATATTTTTAAACACTTATTTATGTGTGTGAGAGAGTGTATTTGCACATGTGTGTATGGGTGCGCATTCCTGTGTATACGCAGAAGCCAGAAGAGGATACTGGATCTCTCAGACCTCGAGTTATAGGTATCTGTGGGATGGCTGATTTGTTATGTGGGTGCTGGGATCCAAACTCCCAGTCCTCATGATTACCTAGCAAGTGGCTCTTAACCACTGAACTCTCTCTCTAGTCAGCATCATATTTGTAAGCAGAGTAGACTAGCATATGTTATATTCTTACCTTAAAATTACAGCTAATAGTTTAGAGAGGGTAAATCTGTCTCCACTGTTACTTGGAAATACAGCTGCAAGGATTAAGGTGAAAAGTCCTACAGGGACAACAAGAAAATGAGGGAAGAAGCACATAAGTTTCAGTATGACCCATATTACTTAGAATCAATTACAAGGTCGAAGTAAATAAATTATATACCTTGTAAGCTAATTTTTTGTCTTGTTCAAATAACTAACACTGCATTTACTTAAGCTGCATGTTCAAAGGTCAGAGTAGGAACAGCCTCTAAACTATGTTTATTTCAACAATACAAATCAAGAGTAGGCCTATTTATTTTTAACCTAGTAAGAGTTAAATTGAGCCTACAGGGTAACATTGTGTCCTCATGACAGCCAAGCCTGTGCTCTAAGGTTTTCTACAGCTTCAAAAATACTTTTTATCTTCCAAATTTAGAAGGTGATTCAATCTTAAAAATAAAACACCTACCATAGCTCAAATTATAGTTCTGAAGTATGTAATTCCATTTAGCCAAAAGGCTCTAGCAAAAGATCTTTGACAAGAATATGTGTAGGGCAAGACCACTACAATAGAGTCAGCCTATGAAACCTCCATCTATTGCAGAACAAAAACCAGAGGGCTAAGGATGTGTTTGGTGGGACAGCACTTGCCTAGCATGTAGAAGGCCCTAGGTTTGACGCCCCCAGCACTGCAAAAATGAATAACAAAACAAACAAAAAACTATGAAGTACTTAAAGGAACAGAAATAGTGCAAAGTTTAGGTAATTAACTACAACTATTAGCAAGCAGTTACAGCCAGAAGTGATTGTCCATGCCTGTAATCCCAGTACTCGGAAGAGAGGCAGGAGTCAACCAGTCTACATGGTGAAATAGTCAGAGCTCTCTAATAAGATCCTGTAATGTCCCCTCACACCCCCCAAAAAAACTATTATAATATACTAATATACAGCTGAAATAGTAACTTCCAACATAGAATTATGTCTATGTACAAACATAGACACTAGAAATACATGTGTCAATTTATAATGAAAAATTTGAAGACAAATTTCTTACCAGAAGTTGAAGACAAAATATTCACTATAGCAACCTGTGTGTCTGAAAGTGCTTCTTGATATGACAAATTTGCCAAAAACCACTAAAAAGAAAGAAAACAAAGTGAAATCTAATGAAAGACCTGTCACTCCAATTTACAATTACCTTTTTTCCCTCCTCCTAAGCACTGTTATTGTAAGAGGTTTTGAAAGCATTTATTCATTTTTTAATTTTTTTTGAAAATCATAGGCCACTAAGCAGGGACAAACACTTATAATCTGACCTCAGATCTTGCTGCCCAATTTCTCTTAAGAAATTAACAAACTGCCAGGTGTGGTGGTACACGCCTTTAATCCCAGCACTTGGGAGGCAGAGGCAGGCAGATCTCTGTGAGTTCAAGGCCAGCCTGGTCTACCTAGGTCTGCCTAGTTAGTTCCAGGACAGCTGGGGCTACAGGGAGACCCTGTCTCAAAAAGACCAAGAAGAGGAGGAGGAGGAAGAGGAGGAGG